TCGTAAATGTTGGAATGATGTTGGGCGACGTACATTGACTAATAGCAGTCGTAAAAAAATATTCACCATGGCTTGGATGTACTGAATAAATTCGATCAATCGCATCGGTGGAATATACATTTGTGTATCCTGGTACTGATTTTCCTTGTTTCTGTCGTATAAATCATATTGATTCCAAGTATAATATTTTGGCATTTCAGAATAAAGCAGTGTTTGTGCAAAATTATCGTTTTGACATATCTCAAAAAAACTTGTTAATGTAGTAGATGGTGGCTGAGCAGCTCCTTGACCTGCGTTCACTGCTGTAAAGTACACCCTTTGCCCATTTTTGCACAGCTAAGTAAATAACAGAAGGGTGTCTCTCATGAATTGGAAAAGAAAATATTCGCCAAATTGATTCATTACTACTAACTATATTTGGTATTGAGTAACTTTTATGTTCATTTCGGTCGTCATGTTCTTGTGTAGTACGATTAGATCGGTAATTAGCTTGTTTTGTAGCATTTCGTGTTCTTCTACTTAAATTGCCTCGTCTTATAGGAGGCAATATTAAAATATTGTGTCACATGCAATAACTTTTTATTCATAGGTAGATAACAAAACACTACAAACAGAACAAAAGCACACTTAGCAGAGTATAACAGAAAATGCAATAAAATCACCACCGGCAAGAGCGGCAAATGGACATTGACATTGATTTTTTTAATCTTATAAGACTTGAAGTCAAATTCTTTAACGCCACACCAATTTTATCGCCTGTCGAAAGTAAAACAAAAAAAATAATATCGAGAAGCCGACTACGATTATTTATATTAGTTAGAAAAGGGCTGTTTTTAGGGTTTTCCCGACGATTATGCGAATTTTTCTCGCCGTAAGAACCATCCTTGGACATCAACGAACATTTTAAAAAAAGAATTGGCCAAATTGGTTCAGGCGTTGTTGAGTTATGCGCTTACCAACACATTTTGCGATCCATTTTTATATATAAGATTACTTTTTCTCTATCTAACATCCATACTGCATGATATTCTCAATTTCCTTCGAAGTTAATTTAATTTCACAAATTTGGCAATGTATATTATACAAATGAGTAATTTGTTGAATATTGATATAACTGGTACAATAACTTGTACCAGATATCAGGTAAGTCAGGTGAAGGTCCAAAAATGTTATCATTACAACTGAGTTGGATAAATCCATCTTCACTACCTTGATTAATTTCTTAAAGTATTGAAATATCTTCGTCGACAATAATTTATATTTGACCCATACAAAGAAGTCTTGTATCTTGACTTCTTGTTAAGAAGTCTGTACAAAGTAAAAATATCCTTCTGATTGATTATATATGGAGGTGATGGAAGGTCAATTAATGCGTTTGATATACTACTATCAATTGTAATGACACTTTTTCCACATACCTCAAAATACCATTTCATTTGATATATTGCATTGATCTAAGAAGGTAAACAATCTCTGATGTTCAATAAAAAAAAATTATTTAGAATAAGAATGTGCACTACGCCTAGTCAATATGACAAACACAGAGCGGTGTCTTCCTATTTGATTGAAAACTATTTTCATGATCACAAGAATAAAGAGATTCCTTAAATATCTTGGACTGTAATGAAAGCTTACAAAGATTACATATAAAAGAGATGTGTCAAATAGTCGGGCACATCCAAGCTAATAAATCATTGCTATCATAATGATCATTACAAATCAAGATTTTTCTTTATATCGTCACAGCTGATTGGGTATTCATGAACAAATAGTCCAACAAAATTCTAATGAACTTCAGGCACAAAGATTCTGATCATATCTCATTTGATTTATAAATCAATTAAAATATATATTAATTTCAAATTGTGCGGAAAACACCTTGCATTACGGCACTACATCATCGTATTATGTACATATTTGAATTAATATTGATTCCTTCCATGACATTTTTTATTTATATAGAAGCATATATGAATAACAAACTCATATTAATTCATGTAGAAGCACTATCAGCTTTATACCATATTCATATCGTTTTCCATTTTGAAATAAATGTGTCATTATAAATATGAATCATTTTGCTTACTACTGTCAAACAATTTAATAGATTAAATATTTAAATTGTGTAATGTCCAGTTCTTTTTATCTAATTGCAATTAAATCGCAATTTGATATTTCTATATTATTAGCCCTTTTTAGTATTATCCATCATTAGTAATTGTTTTTAATATTAATATTATTGTATCTATTTTTGATATAACTGCAGTAGTATAATTAATAGCACCGTTTTCACTTTAATTAACTAGTCCATTATAATTTGTTTCACCATAACATCTCATGTTAGTAATATTTTTGAATTTGTTGTTGTTGTTATTTAATTAAACGTTGTTGTTTGCATTCAACAATTAAATTTTGTTCCAAATCTCATGCCTTTTAACAATTTTACATATTCAAAGACCACATACACATCTTGAAACAAAAATTACAATTCGAGAAAACTACCGACACTTTACGATTAACAACACAATACATAATTTGAACATTTTGGCAAATTGTACTTGAACTAATTTACAACACATTTTTAGATTTATTTTTGCTCAACAAGAAACTCATGAACAATTAAAAATCAATACGTTCATATAGTAGCACATGAAATTAAACGATTTAATAATTAATTATCTATTAGGAAATATTTGTCGCTCGCAAACCATTTTCGAGGACACATTTTTAGATTTATTTTTGCTCAACAAGAAATCATGAACAATTAAAAATCAATACGTTCATATAGTAGCACATGAAATTAAACGATTTAATAATTAATTATCTATTAGGAAATATTTGTCGCTCGCAAACCATTTTCGAGGAAAGGTTATGCTTTTTATGTGGTGGTCTGCCTTGCAAGACTCTAAATCGATATACAATATTATTTAAATTTAACATTTGAATAAATTTTACTGGTTAATATATTTCAGGTTTTGCTTTCCATACAATTTTTCATTTTCTTTTGTATAAAAATGTATAATTTAACATTTTTGGTACATGATTTGGCGCCTCATCAAAAATTACTACTTAAGATTTTTAATTGTTATTCTCATAAAACTCGAACATTATGGATTAAAAAATTGCATATAATTAAGTTTTGAAACGAGAATCGCGCTTCTGATAAAAACATTTGTAAGTTTTTGGTATTTAATTATAGTTCTATCTTGCTGTGATTATTGCTATGATATATCTATAATTGAAGTATTTATTTCATGAGTGTACTAATTAATTATTGTTCTTCTACAAGATATGATGTTCGAATTTATTATTGTTCGTTTAATTCTTTTTGAAGTATAATTCATACTCATTTATTTTTTCACTAACATGCTTTGTTACGAAGTAATAATCTCCTGACAAGTTTTTATTTGTGTTTTGTGTATTAATTACTTGTGTGTTTTGTTGTCACTCAAATTGGGACTCGAAACGTATGGATCTAATAAAGGGTATGGGCGTGTTTCCATACAGAATTGGCCCCCACCCTGGCATTTAAATTATTTTGATGCCATTTTATAGGTATTTTCGAGAAAATTCGATATACCAAATTTCAAATCCGTAGCTCATCATTTGGCCGAGATATCAGTGAAAACATGTGAAAGTGGCCCCTTTTTTCAAACTCACTTTTTGTCGGAAATATGAGAGATATCGAAAAACCGTTTACGTCATTCTATTTGTACTGATCTTCTCTATATTATTTATAATGAATAATGTTAAAAAATTGTCATTTATTGGATGAAAAGTTGAAAATAAGTTTTTATTTGAAATTTTCGACCAGTACGGTTAATTTGACTACTTTCTAAATAGCATCATTTTAAAGCCTGTATATTTTAATTTTATTATCCAAAATGTGGAACTTTTTATAAAAAGTTGAAAAAACCGAAGGTAGTACACGCGGAACCCGTAGAATATGCGTGAAAGTAGCGTCTCTCAATAGCAAACCAGTGCACATTGCGCTTGGCGCGCATCGGAACATATTCTATATAAAGGTATTACTGATTTAAAAAATAAAACTAGATATATATATTTATGTCTTTTATATTCAAACTAGTTATATATTTATATACAATGTTTTTTTGTTTTGAAATTATACCTAAAACTTTATTTGCTTTTTATATTTTATATTTTATATTATTATACCGTTATTATATTATAACGATAGTAAATCTTAAATTGGGAAAAGAAGGTCAGAAGTTATGAAATTCTTTGGTATACCAATGGAAATTGACTGGTGTGAAAAAATATCAGTATTTACATCAACTACATTTTTATTTATAATAACATTATTTTCTAATGATCTCTTAAAATCGCCATAAGATTTAGAACAGGAAAGTACGAAAATTCTACTTAGAGCATCGGCGTTAGTATTAATCTTACCCTTTTTATAAACAATATTATAGTCGTACTCTTCGAGCTTATTTTCCAACGCATAAGCCTAGAGTCAGTTATATTTTTATAACGTAGGTTTTATATAAAAATAATATTTATTTCACTTTAATACAATTACTTCATTATATTTTAAGACTTTATTATATTCAAATTATACAATTAATATTATTGTATTTTATTATATGATATAATATGTGATTACCCAGTAAACACGCGATGTGATCTTCTATAATATCGACATCGTTATTATAATGCGGTTATCGAATCTACGCCACAAGAGGATTTTAAACTTGCGTGCGCTTGTGTGTGTTACAATACACGCAAAGCTCGCATTGAGTTGTCTCACGAGACATAAACACGCGCTGTCGGGGGTAATGACATCGTTGAATTTCATGTGAGATACATGTCGTGCGCTGGTGTGTGTTAGCACACATGCAAAGCATAATCAATGACGTCACACGGCGTGAAGCAAACGCGTCGTGCGCTGCGTTGTGTGCGTTGTGTGCTGGTGTGTGTGACCATACAAAGAAAGCTTTACATCAGCGCGCCGTGGCCACTGGTGGAACCGATTGTTTCTTTGACAAAATGGCGCAAAATGTCACGAATTTATCATGCATCAAGTTATATTTTCTTTAGTATAATAATTACATTCGTTTAGTTAAGCAACTTGTTTATGATAATTGTAGAAAAGTGTAGAAAAATGACACCGTAAGTATATCATATATTATTTATATAGATATAAATTACTTCACGATTTTGAATTCCATTTAGTGCATTATATCCTGGGATGAAGAAACGTTATTTTATGTCGATTTCTTTAGATGACAAAGGAGGTAACCAAATAGCATATCTTACAAAATCTGAGGACAATAATAAGGATCGTTTATCAAGGTTAAAATAATTATTTTACTAAATTAAGACATTAACATATCCATGTGTTCGACATAACCTCACTTCTTAAATCTCTTAAATTAGTCGGTTGAGAAGCGGATCGAGAATGATTGTTTGAATATGTAAGTCACTACAAATATAATAGCTATACAAATATATATAAACAGCAAACACGTATGCCATGTTCATATTTATTTCAGAAGTCGTACAAAATTGGAATGAAACGATGAACAATATACAGATCTTTAGACAGGCTCAAATAATGTATGTTTAGGAGCAACTTGAAGATAATGGAGATTTATCTTCTTAATATGTAAGTTGATTCATATATAGTTGCTGTATATATATTATTTGGTAACAAATACATTATATTTATAATTGTTTTAGAAAACCTCTAAAATTGGGAACAGTATGTCATATATGCATGAACTTGATTGATGTATTGATGTATAATGAACTGAAGATATAATGAATTCAATCAGGTTAAAAAAAATGTATGTGCAAAAGCGACTCGAAGACGATTTAGATTTGTCTCCTGAATATGTAAGTTGCTACACATATGGAGTGGTATATATATTATTAGATTCAATAAAACACATTATGTTTCAAATTGTTTTAGAAAACTTCCAAGAAGTACATCATATATGAATATCCTGTATCCTCGCATTTGATGTATTGAACTGGCGATAGAATGAAATCAGTCAGTGTTAAAAATGTATGTGTAAAAGCGACTTTAAGATGATGGAGATTTGTACACTGAACATGTAGGTAGCTACACATATGGTAGCTGTATATATATATATTATATTATATACAGTAAATCACATTATGTTTGAATTTGTTTTAGAAAACTTCCAAAATTTGGGGCAGTATGTCATATGTGCATAATCTGTATCCTGGCATTTGATGCAATGAACTGGCGATAGAATGAAATAATGAAAAATAGGCAGGCTGTTTGATGTATAAGGAAGTGGCGATAGAATACTTATGCAACACTTCACACTTCACGCCCCAAAAATAGAATTACGTTCATTAGATATACAACAATTTTCATTAAATATACTGTTATTAATATGTTAAGATTGAATAATTTGTAAAAAGTTTTCTAGTATAGTTCATGTTAAAATTTTATAATTTCAAAACTACAATTCTAATTTGTAATATTTAAATATTGTAAAATTTCTTATTATTCACGTAAATAAATGCTTATTCATACAGAAAAGAATATTAATTGCATTACGTCATCACTTTCAGGTGCTATTACGTCATAACTGAGTCGCCATTTTGTATGACGTCATGACCGAATCGTTTTCATTCGCCAATGACGTCATGACTGGGGTGAACGCCTTACGTCAGACGGTCTTATCATAATAAACAAACATATGTGGGTCAACGTCGATTTTCATGTATCACGAACGCCACGTGCGCCAGAGACCGAACCTCGATAGTTGTTCGATAGTTACATAAATTTGCGGCCGTATCCATTAAATATCGAGGAAAATGAATATGGGAACCGCATGTCACACGACCTAAATAAAATATTGCCACGATGTTGTGGCCATATCGCATGTTTACTGGGTACTGTTTGAATGTTAATTAAAGAATCCCAATTGAAAATCAGAGCGCGTCCTATATATAGGGCTACATATTTAGTCTAGTACGCTTAGATTATAAAACATATTGATTGAATGGTAAATGTATATCTTATTGATGTATAAAATGATTATAAAATATGCTGATTATATAAGTAAATGTATATATTATTAATATATATAACTCCTCCGGCCTTAGATGAGAACTCGAGGGGTGAAGGTTGACGGCATAGATAAACAAGTATAATAGATCGTTATGTCTGGCGGTTTGACGTTACCTCGATTGGAATACAAATTTTTAAAAATAGATGGCAGCACATGTATAATATTTAAATTAACCCCTGGTATTACTTCTTAATTTGTACGTATCGTATACAGCCCCAAAAACCTGAAAAATTTTTAATATTGGAAATAAGAACAAATCATACGAAATACAAAATATATATTTTCAAAGATATTACATATGTTTAAAGAACAATTAAATTTATGTTTATATTAACAATTATAATTACAGTTATGGAATGTTTGAAAATATAATAATTATTATACATAATTATAAAAGTATTATAATTTCACAATTATGCTTAAATAATATTTCAAAAACTAAATAAGTAAGTGAAGAAAATCACAGAAGTATTTAACTAAACTAAGGACAAATAACTGAGTAATATTAATTACTTAATGACTAATATTAATATATTAAAATCTTAAAAACTAAGAAGAAACTACAAGCACAGGAGCACGCAATGAAATTACAAATTTAGAAGGAATGACAAATAATACAAAAATTTAAAGGGTTAAGAAAAAAACAAATAATTTGTTAAAAAGTACAAATACTTCACAAACAAAAAAGTCATAAAAACATAAAATATATATATTGATATCAAAATTGAGAGAAGTTCAAATTCCTAGGATTAAAACTCATTTACGAGACATTGTTCTTTATTAATTCTGCATGTAATAGTTATTTCGCTATCTAATGAATTAATAGTAAAGTTGCATTTAACAAAACCTTTGAATAGTTTCTGTACGAGTGTTTTATAACATTACATTTAGCCATGTTCCATCATGAAAACATTATCATTGAAATTGCCATAAAAGATCAACAAAGTGTTTACAATGAACAGAATAATGTTTTATGCACATACAATTGTTTATGAATCAAAAGATAAAAGCAATATTTTTGATTCCCAAGGTCGGTAACAAATATATCTTGAATTTAAACATTATATTGGGATGTTACACAAGTTTTATTTGAAGAATATTATAACACTAATCTTCAATCGAAATACATTAAAATATTATGTATGGTATAGACTCTCTTTATAAGTGTTCACATTTGCTAATGTAATAGATAATCTTATTAATATAACAATGAACTTACGTTGATGAACATTTAAACCAATACTAGTTTACTTTATAAGTGTTTACATTTGCTAATGTAATATATAATCTTATTAAATATAACAATGAACTTACGTTGATGAACATTTAAACCATACTAGCTGAATAACTGTTTTGCAACTTCAACAATATGAGATTCAATCCAATCATATAACAATTCCGAAGATAATGGTATTTCATCAAACATCAAAACACAGTATCTGCTACTAATACTTTTTAAAAGAAATAGCTGAACCTAATGTTTTAAATAGACATTCATAAATACCGCTATACACTTGTATCTCTGAATGCAACTTTCTCAATGTTTGAGGACATGGCAAAATAAAATTTGTCTCCAAAAATAGTAGACCTTTGGAGACTTTTTGTACGACTTATTCCTTAAATTATTGCATTGTTTATGAATCCTTCTTGTCATTACATAGTGCATTCCTTGGTTGTCAAAAGTACTCCTGCGCTTTGTTCGTGCATTTTGCAGCAATTTGCAGGTACCCCCAAGACACCTATTCAATATAATAACATGTTGACATATCTTGATTATATATAATTATTGCTGCAATTATTATTAAAAAATACCTTTGCGGAAACTTGTATTGGAATAGCTAAATATTTTAACCCGCACTTGACACTTTTTTGGGTACTATAAAAACACTTTGCCATATTAAATTTCACAAATGTTCACTTAAACAAAATTTTAGAAACAACACGAGTTCAAAAAGTTAGGTTATTCCTACAGCCATACAGCGATCAAATACTTGACAGCCACTTGCATGAACCACGAACAATTTGTAGTTGAAATTGAGCGCATGAGCCATCTGTTTTTAAAAATTGAAACTACTCAGGACCAAAACAGTGCAACGCGCATTTGTTCGAAGATAACTCCCCATGGTTGACGGCTGGGTGTCTACTTCCTGAGGTGGTTCTTCTTCATGTGTGATTTCTAATTTTTCTTATTACATTTTTGAATTATAATTTTCACTAAAATGTAAACAATAAAGATTATAATTAATATTATAGCTATTGAAATATGCGGGATATTGTTGTGATTGGTAATTGCATTCTTCATATAAACATTTTTATTTGGTCTTGTTCTTCTTTTATTCTTGAGAGTTCATCTACTTGAATGCTCTTAATACGTAATGGCTCGGGTGTTGTTTCATTTTAATTTAAATTGAATCTTGGAATCAAAATTGGTTTTCCTTGTATTGATGATTTTATATTTTGATAATTTCTTCCGTTGATAACAAATTTACAATTATGTGGTAAATTTAAAATATAATTTCCTTTGATAAATTTTGTTTCTTGTTGTCCTTTACAATCAAAATCTATTTTTGAATTGTTGATTAGTAATAAAATATAATGTGCATTATTGATTTTCTTTATGATGTTATGTGTTAGAGTTACTAATGTTTGTTTAAATTTTTGTAAGCGTTTTTCTTCCCAATTTATTAATTTAATTGTGCATTTGTCGTTATTTTCGAGAATGTGCTTCGTTTTGCAAAAGTATAGATTTGAGACAAGTTTACACTCTTCTTCTTCTTGAAATTGATAGTTTTTTGTTCTAAGTGTGAGGAAGGATTTTGGGGGAATAATAATTTTATTAGCGGAATTTGGTATTGGATATAATTTATAATGTTTGAAAATCTCAGATAATGTTATAGGAATTTTTATAAGGAATACAATTTTTTCATTTGAGTAATAATATCGTACATTAAGTAAATTATAATATTTGTGAATATTAGCTTCATCTATGGAAAAAGGTAACGAGCTTTGTTTGTACAAGTCTTTGACATTCTTAATAATATAATTCAAGTTTTCTATTTTATAAAAGAATTATGAACTATGTTAATTCTTGCTAAGTCTAGGGATATTTCTAAATCGTTTAAAATATTGGTTAGTATGATTAAACTATAACTTATCTGTTCAAGAGCATCTTTTGCCATGAAATATTCATTATGACCAAAGTTACCATTTTTCAGAAAGTCCTTCATATCATTAAGTTTCTTATGTAGAATTAATTCATTTTGCTTAATACTAGATATTGTATCGTTAAAATTTTTTATTAATTTTTGGTTAATTGTGATTTGCTTATTCAGTGTTTTTGCTAATTTATTTTCGTTTCCTTGAAGTGTTTTAATTGATTCGTCATATCTTTTACCATCTTCTGCATCTAGATTTCCTGTAATTCCTTTTATTATACTTCCTAAACCGTCTATTAAACTTCTTTTTATTCGTCTATTCGGTCTTATTGTATTATATTTATCTTCAATATTTTTAACATAGTTTTTATAATAGAAAAGTATGGATTCTTTATGGAAGTTATGGATGGACTTATGTATTCTTCGTGTTTTTTATTTAATACTAATAAAAATGCGTTAAAGTCTGAATTTAAATTATTGATTTGTAATTTAATTATATCAGTATCTACGTAATTTATAAATGTGTGGTATTTTTCGATTAACTTTGCGTTGCCTAGATCAAATGGAAGAAGTCCGGCTGTATTCAATTCTTGCAATTGTATTTCATTGCTGTTTACTTGTAGAAGGAATTGGAGAAGAATTACGTGAGTCAGCAACATTGTTCTCCTGTAAAATTTGTTGTGAATTAATTCGGGGTCTTTTCATATCTTGTTTGTGAAATGTTAAATGCTTATCTGTCAGTAAAGTTTTATTTAAATCGTCTTGGATGTGTACTGTTTTAAACCGTGATGCGAGTTTGTCGCGTGGATTGAGTTTTAAATAAGCATTACTGTTTTGTTTATACGGTAATGGATTATGTTTAGATATTGTGTCCTGTTTATTCTTATAGTTATTATCAAATATTTTTTCATACATTAACTTTGTTCTTTTCTTATGATCATTTAAATAATTTGTTAAAATTTCAGATTCTAAATGTATTTCAAAAGGTGATCTAGTTGATAGAAAACCAGAAATTATGTCAAAAGGTTTTAATTTTGTTACAGAATGAATTGAATTATTATAAGTTTATAACCATAAATTGCATAAATCATTAAATCTAAAATACTTGGATTTTTGCTTTCTTGATTTCATATTCTTATATGTTCTGAGATTGTTGAATGAAATCTTTCTATAGAACCATTCGAATTTGGATGCATTGGTGTAAT